GAGTAAGACTAGATAACTGTCAACTGCTTTTTGTTAAGAATAACACCCCCTCCCAGCAACCAGCTACCATTGGTCCCACACTCAGAAAAAACGAATTGGCAATAAGAAAACCACAAAATGTAGCTCAACTGATTATTCAGAAAGTGAATTTATTATGTCTGATTTTGAAGACCTTACTCTCAAGGTAAGTTTCTATAAAATTACAATATAATATTAATATATTCTATATATTGGAAATATTTCGGAAACTTATGAGCGATTTTTTTCTGAGCTTGAAGTATGGAATGTATTAAAAAAATGGTTTGCACTTCCACATTTACTTTACAGAAAGATATATACATATTACTAAAAGATATTAATAACATGTATTTTTTTTTAAATTTTAAAAATAATTAAATTGAAAATATTTAACACTTCCAGTGGATATTTTCTTAATTATGGAAAGTTCTTCTGAAACTTTGGAAAAATAAGAATTTTATCGTGATAAAATTGTACAAATTTAAGTGCATCAAATGCTGGACATATTCTCTAGATGTATATAAGTGCTGCAAGTCCCCAGAGTAAGAATAGATAACTGTCACAGTCAGTCACAGTGCAGTCTTTGGCCTTCTCGCCACTCGCCACTCGTCACTCGTCAGTCTTACACGCCTCGCAGCACTAGAAATCTCTGTGGCAGCACGTGTGGCCATCATTTGCTGCTTATGCGGCACTTGCTTGTGGCAGCTTCAGTTATGGATGTGCGCTCTCGACCCTCACTGCCATAAATATGTAAATTTATTACGTGATTTCTTACAGAGATTTGCGCACATAAAGGAACATGGCTACTCGAATAGTTTCAGCGAGTGGAGGTGAAGACAATACAAAAATAGAGATACAGAGAGAGACAGAGAGAGAGAGTGGGAGAGAAAGAGAGGTTGTCAGACTCTCCGATGCTCTCTTGCTCTTGCATGAGATTCATAAATCTGCTGGTTATTTTGTAGCTGTTAATATTCACTTTATATAATTTCAGCATTAAAGAATGTTTTTCACATAATCAAATCACATAATCATCATAATGAAAGGTTAAACAATTAAAGTTAAGTTGAATAGCCGTATAATTAAATTTAAAACATTGCCACGCACAATGAAAACTTTACCCCATAAATTCAATTGAAAATTAACTTAAGTGCACTTTCGGATCCATTTGAACGGATTTCGGTAGCAGAGTAAACAATTAAGTCGCATTAAACATTTACTTAACCTGTAAACAGTAGCAGGTTTATGCAGTGCAATTAAATATTAATTAGCACATTGTTTCGTTTATTTTTGCCAATATTAATTAAAGTAAATTTAATGAGGCCACACATTTGCATGGTTAATGCAACATGCCACGCCCTCAGGGCTGCCGGCTCCCATCGATAAATGCTGAATCAAAGGCCTGCAAAAAATCAACGGCGGAAGTCATTTAAAACACATTTCATCGCCTGATTATGCACAAAGTTGACGTGCAAGTGCCACGAGGATGTGGCAAGGAGGATGGTGGCAGTGGCATTTGCCTCCCTTCATTTGCATTAAGCATACATTAAACAAAAATGGCTTGTAATTTGAAATGAATTAATGAATGCAAGCAATTTATACGTGATAAACGCATAAGTAAAAAACAAGGACACCAACCGAAGTGAATTGTAAATTTGATACTTAAATCCGACTGACAGGAAGGATTTTGCACTTAAGCCTACTGTTGAAAATCAAAGGCCTAAACATTAAATGCAATCATTAATCGTATATATTTTATGTCTACCCATAAGTTCTTTACACTCTCAGACTCTCTTTAACTCCATCATGGACAGATAAATGCAGTGCTTGAAAAGTTGGCTCTAGCCAATTTTATGGCTGACATAAAATTGGTGTCAAGTAGGCCACAGTCTGCATCCACTGACAGCAGCCAGAGACTTTTCATCCCGCGGGGAGAGAAGCTGTGTCCATGTTTATACTGCTGTAAGTTTTAAACGATTCAGCTTAATGTGCTTCAGCTAATTTGCTTTTTATTAAAAATAGCCCCCATTCCGAGCAAATAACTACCATCCGTCTTACACTCGAAGAAAACCGGAGCTGACATTAAGAAAATCAGCACAGTCAGCTCAACTTGTTTTCCAGAAAGTGAATATCTGAAACCTAAGATTGTGCATGGTTTTGAATTCATTTTTCCTAGATATGAAACAAAATTTCTTAGAGCACGGTAATTTGCTCATTTTTTTTGGCGTTTAATATTATAAAAAACAATTTAGCAAAGATTTCACTTAATTAGATATTTAAGATACGTTATAAATTCAGTGAAAAATCGAATGAATGTTGTGCATTTTTTTTCTGAAGCAATGATTTTTTTAAAAATATACATTTATATTTCCATTTCTTAGGATAATACATTTTAAATATTGTACATATTTCTGAAACTTAGAAGAAGAGACGGACATACATTAATGAAGTTTTTCGGAACTTTAAAATGAATGTTTTACAAAACAAGGATTTGCAATTCTACTTTTTAGATAAAATATATCATAAGAATGGGAAACATTACAAAAACATAGGAAGAAAGAGATACGAATTGATTTATATATTATTAAAACTTATTTTATATGAATTTTTAAGTAAATATATTAATTATTATAATATATAATTAATATATTCATATAATTTATGAAAAAATAAAATTTTTTCTCAATTATCGACTTAAGCCAAGTTTTCCAAATTTAAGAAATATTTGTAATTAACTTATTAATTATTAAATAAAATTCGCAGCTCACAGTTTATTATGCTGTAAATATTGTTAATGAAAACAAAAGCGAGCGTTAAAGCCAACATGCTTACCACAATACCCTGCTGAGCCCCCGTAAGTATGACACTTTCTGATCAAATTCAATTTTAATTGTTATTCATTTACCCCCTTTTTTATTTATTTAATTTGTTTAATGTCAACTGAAGTCAGGCAACACAACAAAAAAAAAAAACAGAAAAAAATACAAAAAGTAGAAAATGGATTTGATTAAATTAAAAATATAATGTAAAATTAAATTTTAAGTTCAAGCGATAAGAATTTAAATGCAAACTGGTGGAAAATTTATTGCATGTATTGGCAAAAACTGAGAAAAAACCTAATCAGACTAGGACTGTCTGAATTGACTAATAATTGGTATGGTAATATGATAATCATTGCAGATAACTCGTCTCAAACGCTCAAACGCCTAAACATAAATTCAAAATTATTTTCTTCCCCATTCAGACATTTTGATTAAACGTGGCTCGCACTTTAAAAAGTTTTCAAAACAATTTTTAATAACAAAAATAAATGCATGCAACACAATTAAGTGCAACTTGCCAGTCGTTTAAGGAGTGTGCCACAGGATACACAGGATACACGTCCGTCTGGCTGCAGACGAGCAATGTCCTTATTTATATTGTAATTGCTCTGACATAAAAAAATTGTGACGACGAAAAGCCGAGGAAATAAACAGCTGCAACGACTGCAGCCTGAAATATTTAAGAGGCAAACTGGCGAAGGTTTGACAGATAAAAACATTCAGAACTTTATGGAATCTGCGGCAGCAACATCAAAGTGAAATCTACTTTTGGTTGGCCAATTGAAATGAGATTAATTTTAAAAAGATTCATATTTTTGTGTGTTTAATAATTGGCATATAAATACATTTTTTGATATTTATAAATCTCTTAATTGATATTTATCTATCAATAGCCACTTGTTTTTGTGGGCTACTGCGCCATCATTATCATCATTGAACTGGCAATTGAAATATTAAGCATACGCCGCATAGCCGCAACCAAATGGCTTATGGCTGTTTATTTACAAATTCAACACACAGTGAGGTAAATCGACATTGAAGAGGAGAGCTTTCTGACGTCACGAATGGTATTTAAAAATCCATTGACACAATCATAAATCGATGGCTGATTTATGACAAAAAAAAAATGCTTTTGATTTGCCTTTATTGTGGCTGCTTGTTTCTACTATTCGCAGAGGCTGCAAATGCGTTGGGCCCCATAAACAAAGAAGCAAACAAACAAACAAATTCGCATAATTTGTTTATAAACAAAACGCGCAAGCAGACATAAAAGCGAACACATCAGAAGCATCACATAGCAATTGCCGATTGGGCGCGGCCATTAAGAAGAAACAATTGTAATAATTATAATTACTATAATTTAATAAACACTCGCACTTCTCATTTCAAATCTAGCCAAAATTATTAACATTTGCCTCTTGGAGTAACACAATTAACAGTTGCTACCCACCCACATCGCTGTTATTGGCTAACTTTAACAGCACTGGAAAACGATTGACTCCGAAACGAGTCTGCTTCGTTTGCGCAGAAAAATATCCGAAGTTCCACTCTCTCTGTCTCTCTCTTTCTCTCGCTACCGCTCTCGCTCTGTCTGTTGCTCTGCAAGCCCCATACAATGCGAACAGCTGTTCGTGGCGTGGGCCCGCCAGAACATCATTAGCAGCGTCATTAACATCATCATTAGCATTGACAACAATTGTGGCGCGCACACAGATGATGTTAAACCAGCGGCTTCTGTAGCGGCTTCAGTCGTTGCCTGTCAACAAAGCGTTGCGCACGTGTGCACCAGACAGCTCGGAAAAACACTTTTCCATGCAAGTGGAGTTGTCAGTAAAAGATACGAGCAAAGAGCCACGCACAAAAGTTGCTTTCTGTGTGTGTTGGCAGTCATGTTTGAAGTGTGCGTGCAATAATGACAAATAAATACATAATAATATAATACAGCTAAGTAGCATTGAAACTGTGAAAAAATAATAACGAGTGTTTGTGAAAACTGTAAAATAATCCTGACGCAAGCGAAATAAAATAAATAATTAAATAACTAAAACACACAAATTTAAAAAGCAGACAAAAATAAATTTAGAACGAGCTTAAAATAAATAAGCTATCATAAAAACAATACACCTTGACAATACTACAGCAGACAACGTTTTATTAAAATCACAACAAAATCGAGAGGTAAATATTTATTACTTGCACAGTACAATAAATCTGCTTTAAGATGAACTCAAATGCAGAGTGAATGAAAACCGCCAACAAAAACTGTTAGCCAACCCAAAACAAAAAAGTGTCAAATTTATGCGAAGCGGTAAAATGAAACTGCCGGAAATTTATATGGCTTATAAAGGGAAAATGCTCCAGGACAAATACCCCACGCAATTTTTGCTTCAAGGATATTTTTATTATCGTTGTAATTCAATGCGGGACAGTGAAGAAATATGCTTAAGTTTCTCCCGGCTTTCTTCTATTTAATTGCGTGGGGAACAATTTACTGTCACATTCTGTCAAATATATTCTACATTTTGAAAATCCCTTGAGCTATTTTTATAGCATCATTTATTCCAATATTAAATTTATAAGAATATTATTCAACTCTTTCAATGTATTCATGTTCATCTCGAATGCATCTAGGTTCGTGAAATGAATTTCGTTTTTCAGAAATATTTGATATGGTTTTGTCGTAAAATGAATTCATAAAAATGTAGCTGGTATTTCTAGGAAACGCGATTATTTTGGCTGTTCTCCTATGTTGAAGTTGCGAGAGGCAACCAAAGATTTTCATTCAGCTGCCAGTGATAAAATATTGCATGCTTTTTGGGGCGCATACTGGCAGAGTGCCTGGGGGCAAGCCCGACTTTTTGTCCATAGCCACAAAAGACAAGGGAAATTAATAAACACGTCGGGGCAAAAAAAAGAGAGAAGTTGAATGGCAAAGTAGTAAAATAGAAAATACGCGAAATGCGCCCGGGGAGGCAAAATACGCAAAAGCCTCAAACTCACTCAGTGCAGATAATTAAACATAATTACGTAATGTGTTTCTGCTTGTGTGTATGTGTGTGAGTTATGAATCTGATTAGCAGCATCAGCAACTACAAAGTAAATCATATTTTGCCGTAATGAAACCCATTAACTTAAATAATAATTGCTAAACACTTGAAATATATTGATAGAGTATTGGTTCTTAAATCAGTAGTAAATAATCAGAATATGTATTTATTTGTAATATTCGTTATATTTGATTGGTAATTACTTAATTAATGGTGTGTGGCAACGCAATTAAATTACAACAAAATGTGCGACATTGCCAGCAAAAAAACAATATCTATATCTGTGTGTATTCCGGGGCATAATGTGCGCCTAATGTCAGATAAGAGCTTATAATAATGACGTACAGTCGGCGGCCTTCCGAACTTTGATATCTGGCATTCAAGAAGCAGAGGCAAGTCAATAAAATGTAATTAAATCGACAATGTTATCAGCAACACACTCCCACCAACACACACATGCACTCACACACACACACACAATAATTGTCACATATACACTCACAATTTCGATTGTGCATTAATTTTAATAATAACCTTTGGCTTTGATAATTTGACAAAATTTGGTTTGTCAAATGATTCATTGTTTAGATTTCGACTGTACATTAATTTTAATAATAACCTTTGATATTTTGACACATTTGAATTGTCAATTGTCAAAAGTTTTATGTTGATATTTTGACTTTTACTGCAAAGAGTTTGAGCTCTAATTATAATTCCTACAATAATTATCTCTGTATTTTGACAACTCGATTAATGGGCTTTTTCAATTGATAGAAATGCAATCAACTGAAAGTAAATAGAAAAAGAACTAAGCCATGAATACTTATTATAATATGAAAGTTTTACAAAAAAGTTGGCAAAATCTGACAAAAAAAAACGTAATAAATAAAGCCTTCCAATAAAGGTAATTCATACCAAAGCCATCAGTGAAAATCGACGAAACTAAAAACTAATTTATGAGCAAAATGCTCTTGAAAACTGTTGCAATATCCAAACTTGCCTCTAAGTTGCACGTAGTTGCTGCCAAGGCAAATGTGCGCCAACAAAGTTGGCAATTGAAGCGAAAGGCAAATAAAAAGAGCAGCGGCAGCAGAAGTAAAAAGAGAGCACAGCTCATAAGTAGCTCATTTGCATTTACCTTTTGCTGCGGCTATTGAAATCATTAGCTTAACTGCTCTTTGAATTTGATTAACAATTTTGCCCCGTCAGACTAGCAATCAAAAGTTAGCTATTCACATTGCGAAAGTTCGAGTCGAACCCTTGAAACCGGAGCCCGCTGATTTTAATTGAAATTGCCGCTAAGGATGGTCAAAAAGAAATGGTTAAGTGGCCAGCCATAGTACCCAGAAAAAAGGGCTACGAAAATAAACGAAAACTTTTTCCTTACGGTAATTTGATAATTTAGACGGGATATCATTGATGGCCCATCTACAAAAACCATTTGCATGCCTTTACAGAACGCTAAATCGCATATCTAAAAATCTTTAAATAGCAAATGTGTTTACAAAACAAACTGTTGATAAAGTCCATTTCAAAGTCATTATTAATATGTGCTGTAGGGATTCGAACTGAAAGCATTGCATTAAACAAATTGCATAATTTAATAGAGAAATAAAGCACTGAAAGCTATCGGTAAATCGGTCAAAGGGAGTCTCTCATTCGTAAACGTAAATGCCTGATGACAAATTGTACACATACGTGCTTTCAAGTGTGTTTTTGTAAAACTTTCATTACGTAATTGCCATCATCATATGCATGAGAGGCAATACACTCAAACTATCTTCATGCCTCTTTGTGAAAGAGAATCTCGCAATTTACTCAACTACAGTCAACACATTTGAGGTTTCAACATTTTCAATATAAGAAAAATCAATTATAAATTAGGCCATGACTTTATGATTAGCAGAATAAGTTAGAAATTGAGCAATGAATTTTGAAAATTATTATGACATAACTCTAAAAGAGTAATTTCTCGATAAACTCATAATCATAAACTTAATCACAAACCATAGGCGGTATTTTAATTAGCTCGAGGGAAAACCTTTTGTGGTATTGTTTGAGGCATGCAATAATTCACTCAGCAACAGATTCCATGTGATAGTCATGCTAAGCCGTAATTTCCCCTAAAATGCGCTTAAATTGCGGCAATGCAACGCAAAATCCAAATGAATTTAGGATTCTCCATTATTCTGATTATTAAATAGTCTTTAATTGGAATATCTAAATAATATCCTTGTCGTTTTAGTGCCAATTGAACAAGTCAATGAATGTTTTTCTTAACATATTAAATTTATACGTAAATTGCATAGTATATTAGTTCGGATTGAGACAACTCTTGTATGGTTAATCGATGACCCTATTGAAATTCATATTATGGATCATTTAAATTCAGTCTACAAAGCCAAGCCTGAAAAACCAATAAAATCTTCTAATATAAATTTAATTCGCAGTTACAATTTAAAGAAACGATTATTTTATTATTTTATCTTAGAGTTGATATTTCTCTATTGGGTTTCCTTTTTTTGATTTAGCAATTATATTTAAACATTAATCAACTTATTGAAAGGCTATAAAGCATTGATTTGTAAAGGTAAATGAATAATAGCAGTGAATTAAAATATATTACATAAATATAGAACTGGTTTCAGCAGATAATAAATAACATTAAGTATTACATTTGTAGCACATTAATTTAACGCCCAACAGTCCAGAGGTCGCTGGTGTGGAGGCGCTTCAACCTCCTGCGAGTTGTATTTGACCCAAGTGTGCAAGCCAAAAGGTTGACGTGGTTGTGGATTTAAGTGGAAGTCGAAGCCTGCAATTTTCATAATTTCAATTAATTTCTGGCATGCCAAAACATAATTGAAACTTTGCACGTTTAAGTTCGCCAGATCACAGACTATGTAAGGATTATTCGGTTAATTCCATATTAGTTTTCAAATAACAAGAAAGTGTAAAATATACAATTTGAAATCGGCTGATCAGTTGCAGCTTTGCAGTATCAAATGGGTTTTATATACATTTGAAAATACCTATGGGACAAAGTTGAGCCCAGCCAACCAGTTACTTGCCACGTCCAAGCCCAACTCCGGGGCTTGCAACAAGTGTTTGGCTCGTAGAAAATTTATCGATGGCAAAACTTCGCTTGAAAGTAAATTACGACAAGTTTGTCGTAGAGCTCGCCTCCTCTGTCCCAACATTGTTGCCAGGTTTCTCGTTTTATTGCCAGCGTGGCAACAAAAATATCCGTACGGAAAGTCATCGGACGAGGTTGGTGGACAGTCGAGTAAGATAAATGTCTGCAAGTTGGCTGCCAAGGATGAGCTTGGACGAGGCAAAGAGCGTGTAAGGAATTGGAAATGATAGCAAAAAGCGTAGTGGGAGTAATTTAATTGTTCAGTCGGTTGACTAATTGAAAACTTGTAAGTTTCAAGCGACGAAAATAGAAAAAAGTTTTTTATCTAGGATGATTCTAATCGAAACTTGTTTGTCAAGGAAAAGAATGCACGTAAACAAGTTTGAAAATCTGTGGCGATAAAATGAACAGATTTTCTTTAATGACAAATTCTTCTGTTGCTTTTCTACTTACATCCAATTAGTTAAAGTCATGAGCGTATCGAGAGAGCTCTTCCCAAATCGTTAAATTCGTCGTTAAGGTCGTTAATAGAAGGCGACAGAAAACCTATTAAAATGCAATATTGATTTGTAAGCTTGACATATTTATATATCTGCTGATGTCAGTCTTATCTCATAAGCTAACTGGCTTATGTTTTCATAGGCAATTTATGAACCATGTCCCATGCGTAACGAAAGAGCTTCCTATCATTTTTATTGCATTCATGGCTCATGTTTCACTTAAGCTTCACTTGGCCAACATTCGCTCGTAAATTGTTCAGCTTATTTAGGCTCGCACATGTTCGAAAAGTCATATTTTTGTGTCACAATTCCGAAGATCTGCATATCTGACTACGCCACAGCTTCCATTTCCGTGTTTTTTATGATACTGTCCATCGTTTAATTTTGTATACCCTGTACTCAAGAAATGGGTAAGCAGAAGAGTAAACAAAATTATTCCAATGGTCAGAAGTACTTGTGAGAGGTTAATAAGAACATATATTTGAATATTGATTC